ACAAAGTCAGCTAAGGCTTGGCCTTTGATGGATGGCCTTGGCTTGATCTCAATCTGGTACTGGCTTAAGAATATTGCCCATTTGATCATCCTTGGAGAGCTGGTTGGGCTCCTCATGAGGGCGCCCAACGGCTGATGTGTGAGGACATGGACGGGGTGAGCCTGGAAATAGTGCCCAAGTTTTTTCACCGTGTGGACGATGGCCAGCACCGTCTTTTCAATGGGGGAGTACCTGAGCTCGGCCTCCCGCAACGTCTTGCTGACGTAAAATATTGCCTTTTGTACCCCGTCATCCTCCCTGATGAGTACAGAGCTGGCGGCCGACGTGATCACCCCTAAGTAGAGGAAGAGAGTCTCGCCGGGTTGGGGTTTGGATAGGACGGGTGGGGAGGCGAGATATCGTTTCAGCTCTTCAAAGGCTTGCTGGCACTCCGTCGTCCATTTGAAGCTGGTGGCCTTCCTCATCACTTGGAAAAAGGGGAGAGACTTCTCAGCGGATTTTGAGAGGAAACGGTTCAGGGCCGCGAGGCGTCCCGTCAGCCGTTGCACCTCCTTTATGTTGCGGGGCGGCTCCATATTGATGATGGCTTGTATTTTCTCCGGGTTCACCTCGATGCCCCTTCGGCTGACCAGGTACCCTAAGAATTTACCTCCCTGGACGCCGAAGGTGCACTTCTTCGGGTTGAGCCGGAGGTTGTACCTCTTCATGATTTCGAAGATGCCCCGGAGGTCGTCGGCATGCGTAGTGGATTGTTTGCTCTTAACGATCATATCGTCGACGTATGCTTCCATCGTCCGACCTAAGACTGCTCTGAAAATCCGGGCTACCATCCTTGTGTAGGTGGCGCCGGAGTTCTTGAGCCCAAAGGCCATGACGAGGTAGCAAAAGATTCCCTCCGGGGTCATAAAAGCAGTCTTCTCCGCGTCATCTTCGTGCATGGATATCTGGTGGTACCCTCTGAACGCGTCGAGGAACGACATCAACTCGCACCCCGCCGTCTCATCCACCAACTGATCAATGTTGGGGAGAGGGAATGGGTCCATTGGGCACGCCTTGTTCAAGTCAGTGTAATCAACACACATTCTGAACGTAGGCGGCTTTGGGGCGAGGACGACGTTCGCCAACCACGTGGGGTACTTCACCTCTCTGATGTGCTTGATGCTGAGCAGCATGGCCACCTCGGCCTTGACAAATTCCCTCCTGTCGGCTGAGAGGTAGCGCTTCTTCTGTTTGATGGGGGAGGAGGCCGGGTTCACCGATAGCCGATGTGTGATGACCTTCGGGCTGATGCCCGGCATGTCCTCTGGTCCCCATGCAAAGACGATGGCGTACGCTCTCAGGACAGAGAGGATGTCCCTTCGGATCTGTTGGGGGAGTTGTGTCCCAATTTTCAGCATTCGTTCCGGCCGGGAGACGTCCAACGGAACATCTTCCACGTCTCCGACCGGTTCGGCCTTTGGTATGTCTTCTTCGGCCGAGGCGGTGGTGATAGTGTCTATCCGCTCCTCGGCCTCATTGATCTTCTTAGTGAGCTTCAGGTAGCAAGCTCGGGCTATCTTCTGGTTTCCTCTGGCGTAGCCGACGCCGTCCTTGGTGGGGAACTTGAGGCATAGATGTTTCATGGAGATGATGGCCTCAAGGTCCTCCAAGGCCGGTCGGCCCCAGATCATGTTGTGGGCGCTGTCCAGGTTGACAACCACGAACTCCATGTCAATTTTCGCCTGATAGGTACCGTCACCGACCACAACGGGAAGCACTATCGTGCCCTCGGCGTCGATAGAGTCCCCGGTGAAGCCGGATAACGGAGTCCGTATCGGCCAGGAGCTCGGTCTTCTTTAGTTTCAATTGTCTGAAGGTGTCAACGTACATCACATTGACAGAGCTGCCGGTGTCGATGTAGTTGCGGTGGATGATGTTGTTGCCAATCTCGCATTTGACGACGAGGGCGTCCCTGTGGGGCAAGGGGCCGAAGGGGAGGTCCTTGTCGGTGAAGGTAATGGCTTCCACATGCCGCCGCTTCGGCTGAGGGGGGGCGTGGGTTACCTCACCAATGTATAGGGACTGAGCCCATTTCTTCCGTTGGGTAGCCGGGTCCCCCCCTGTGTTCCCGCCGACGATGATGTGGATGTGATGCTTCTTCTGGCGGGGCTCCTCTTCGTCCTCATCTTCACTGAGGGCGCCGATCTCCCTCTTTTTCCCGGAGGATCCTTCCCCCCTTTTGCCAGGGTTAACCCAAGTGTTACTCTTGGGGGCACCCTTGACAAATTGGGAAAGCTCCCCCTGTCGGACGAGGCCGTCGATGTGCCTCTTCAGGGTGGTGCAATCTTCGGTCTTGTGGGATGTCTGGCGGTGGTACTTGCAATACGTCCCTCCCTTGTGGACCGCAAATATCTCTTCCTCTGACCTGGGGTCCTTCACAATGAGGCCCTGCGCCTCGGCGTGGTCGAGGATGACGCTCACCGGGTGGGTGAGAGGAATGCGCTGTGCCTCCAATTTTGGGCGCCATGAACGGTCCTCTCTTCGCTGTCCGCCTTGCTCCTGGTGTGCCTTCTTTGGCTGGTGCTGTCCCTTGTTGGCCGGCGGGTGGTGGGGGTTGGACGAGGAGTCCTTTTGTTGCTTCTCCCCACCCTTCTTCTGGTTCAGGAGCTCGTCGGCATCAGCGTGCCTATCTCCGCGTCGGAGCGCCGCGAGGTATGACCGCGGCGGCTCCGTGAACAGACTCCGGGCGAAGTGGATAGGCCGGAGTGCTCCGCGTAGAAAAGCCAGGAGGGTGCGCTCATCGGCTCCTTCACACTCGTCCGCCTCCCTCGTCCAGCGATCGAGGAAGGCTCGGAGCGTCTCCTCCGATTGTTGCTTGATGGTCAAGAGATGAGCGAAGTGCTTCTTCGCGCGCTTCCTCCCGGCAAAGTGGGTGAGGAAGCGTTGAGCCAGATCCTGCCATGAGTCGATGCTCCCCTCCGGAAGGTTGTTGAACCAATCGTACGCTGGTCCTTCCAAGGTGGATAGGAACCAGCGACACATGTACTCCTCTGAAGCGTTGGTCATCATCATATTGTTCTGGTAACGGGTGAAGTGCTCCTGAGGATCAGTGCGGCCGTCATATGGCTTGATCGGGTTCCCCTTATACTTCTCTGGGATGGGAGCGGAGAGCACCCTCGCAGAGAAGGGGGTTCTGGTCCGTATCTGGATGACGGGCTCATCGCGTCGGTCAGCCAACTCCCTTTCCAGAGCACTGACCTTGCCCAGGAGTGCGTCGTAGTTGAGATGCTGGGATGTCTGGGCCGATGCGCGCCCTGCGGCCTCTCGGGCCTCCATATCTGCGAGGCGCTTCTCCAGGCGGGCGATGATCTCGTCCCTCGGGTCCGTGTTGGCCGCAGCGCCACCCAGCGGGTTTTGGATCCGGGCCGCGTGAGCCAGGTTGATCTGGTGACGCGCATCATCATCATTCAGTTTTCCCTTTCCTTTGTCTTGTCGGGGCCGATCCGTTGTCCGGGAAACGGACCCGAAGCTTTCCTTTGGCGACCCCGGTTCGCGGCCACCCAACCGACCCGCCACCCCTCCCGTAGGTACCCGACGGCTCGCGATGTCACCCAGCCTGTTGAAGGCTGAGATTTTACCGCGAGGTTGGGCCGGTGTATCCCGGGTAGGTGAGGCAGTGTGGGAGTGGGTGTCCACGGCGAGGACGTCCTCGTTGTCACCGAAGAAGGTGACGCCTTGCGGACGAGGTGGCGGTGGTGGCACCGTTGCGACCTCTCCAGTTGCCGGAGTGTTGTTCTCCCCTGTCTTTGCAACGAGAGCGCTGACCACGTTGGGGTCCTGGAGAATGCTCGCGACGATGGCCGATAGTGCGGCCGGGTTTATCTGGGGGGCAGCAGGGTGAGAGACCTGCTGGCCCGAAGCGCGATCAGCATTGCGCCTGTCCTCGAGCCCGATGCGGGCGTCTGGGGCAGTCTTGTTGAGCTGGACGCGAAGGTCAGCCGTCGCGTGCTCGATCTCCTGGGCGTTCTCATCCTGGTTGATGAGGTCATTGGGGACGTTGTCAGCAACGTTTCCCTGCCCTTCCTGGTTCAGAGGGGCATTCCTACCAGTGTTCTTTGACCTAGTTCTTGTCATAGCTAGCGGTAGTGTCTAGTAGCGACGAAGGGTACTCACTTGATCTGTTCTAAGCTCTCAATGGAAGCACCAAATGATAGAGTATTAATTCTAGAGAGAAGTGAGAGCTAGAGAGAGAAAGTGAGTAATTATATTTCTCAACCCCCTATAACTAGCCCCAAGGGGTCTATTTATAGGTAAAAATGTGGATTTGGGCTCCCAGCCATGGGCTTAGGAGGCCCATTACAATAATCATGCCTTCTTTGGGCGAAATAGGGCCACTAATGGGCTGTGTACAATACTTAGTAAATAAAGTAGAGAAATACATTCTGCCTGGCCGGAGCCGGGCCGATGCGATGCTTTTTGGCCGACGCGGTCCCATGGCCGATGCGGTCCATGGGCCGACGCGGACCCGGAAGTCCAGGTGCGCTTCCTGGGCCGGTTCGATCCAGGCCGATGCGGACCACACCATGGCCGAAGGGGCCACGTGGGTGTTCTCCTGGTCACCGTTGTCTTGAGTATGCGGGCCATGGGGTCCAGGCCCATATACTCTATCAGTTTCCAACAAGATTCACCTTCACCTCAGAACCTCTAATGATAGCAGGCTTCAAGCGATATATTCTCATCACTTCTCTATTAGTTTTTTAAATACTCAAATTTTGGATGTGAGTTTTACAACTCATAATGTTGTTTTTGTATGTGTAAATAGTATTGAGGGGAAGGTAAAATCTCTATAAAGTGACAATTATTTTAATGATATTTTGCAACTCTAATGTATAAGAAAAGTAGTCAAACGATTACTAAAGTTATGTGTGGTCACTACCTATGTGATTTTTTCCATTGAAGAATAGTCCCTTTTACTTGATCATGAAGAATGTATTGTGCATTTGCATTTGCTTGACCATGAAGAATATTACAATTACAATTATGTTTGCAATACAAATAAACGATATTTAATTTCTCGTCAGATTATAGTTTGAGAATTTCTTCTTGTACACACTTTAATACTCACCTTATACCCACCATGTTTGTGAAGAGCTTTTGACTGTGAATTCGATTCACAGACAAAATAATTTGCATAGACATATTTTGTCTGTGACAAGAAGCTTTTCACAAACAAATTTTTAAATTTTAAGGGTTATCAAACACGTTTTAAATATAAAATAAAAATTGGAAAATCGAACCGTAATTGCTCTGGAATTGTACATTTACAGCATTGATCTCGGAAAATTTGGATCCAAAAAATGCTGACACTGTTCTGACTCTTGTTCGAAACGGCTGACTTATCCAAGTACAGCAGCTACCATTACGACGGTGCTGGCTGCCATGGCCACCATGAAAGTGATGAAACCCGTACATTTGCCATAAAAAGTTGCATTCTTTTTCATATTCTAATCTGGAAATATAGCAATTAAATTTAACAATAATGGAATTAAAACCGAAACCGAAACAAAAAAAAGTCATAGAAATGATGAACTATTATACTCCCCGTCCATTTCACGGCGAGCTTTTATTAGCAGGCTGGCCGTGGCCGGCCGGAGAAGATCGTCTAAAAGAATCAACCCTCTGCAGCCTAATCTGCTCTCTGAATTTGGCTATAAACTCATCAGCTTTCTTATCAACATCCCCACTGTGACTGTTCTCTCCAATCCCCCCATTCTCATCCTCTTCTGACTCCTCTCTTCCTGAAAATTCTTCTTCTTCATCTTCTTTATTCACAAAACTTTCCTGGTTTCTTCTTCTTCTTCCATTCCCCCCTGCCATCTCTCTCCCTGAATATGATCTTCTTCGAGGTTCCTCTCTTTTCTGCTCTGTTGAGCTCAATTTCATGGATGAAGACTTTCCAATGGAACGCGGAGGGGGAGGAGAATGTGTCATATTATTCTTTCTTCCTATCTCCTCCTCATCAGGGAGCGTCATCCTCACTGATGGCGGTGGAGATCCGGCGGCCGGAGAAGAAGATCTGTGCTTTTCTGGTGAAGGAGAGGGTGATCTTTTAGATGATTGCGTCCTAACAGATCTTATTGGAGTCGGGTCTTGCTTGAGAAATTCTGGGTCCTCCATTGTTCTTCTTCCTGCAGATCTTGATCTCCAATTTGTTTCCTCCATGGGCTCTTCTTCTTCTTCTTCAACAATTCTTGATGATTTCAAGCTCCTAACAGGCAAAAGAAGGGGCTTTTCACCAAATTTTGAATTTTTATAATGATTAACACTGAACTCATCTCCTCTTTGTTCTTCAACTGCCACTACTCTGGGTTTTTCCATATAGTATTGATTTCTCCAAGACTGATATGTAACATTATTGCTGATGTCAATCTTTTCATCAAAAAAGACACAAGGGCCCTCAGATTCATCATCATTGCCAAAAACAGATGAAACCTGAAGCAGTCCAGAGACATAGGAATTGGCATTGTCAAAGTTGGCTGTTCTTGTGGTTGACCCATCACTTTCTTTGACTGATCCATCAATTTTCCGGCTGAATAGGCCGTAAGAGACAGCAATGCCGACGAGGATGAGCTGGAGGACTTCCCAGATTTTGGTGCTCAGAGTTTGGGTGAGGAACTCTGGAGCTTGTGAAGGAAAGAGAAGGAGAAAAACAAGGAAAACTGATACAACCAGAGGTTTCAACATCAAGTGCTTGTAGAAGGAGTACTTACTTGGATTGTCAGTTCTTTGTTTTGGAGGGACATCTGAAGATGAATCTGCCATTGGAGTAAGTGAAGAAGGTTTGGGAGAGACTTGAGTGTGAATATTAAATTGAAATGGGTAAGGTGGAGAAATCGAAGCCTTTGGAAATAAGGGAAAAATTATACGAGTACTCCATACGAAGTAATGAGGAAAGTATTTGGGTGGATAGACCCTTTGCGTTTTTCTTTTTGTCCATTGATTTTTATTTTGTTCATTTCTAATTAGGTGTTGGTTCACGAACCACCAGTTCCAAACTACCGGAGTACACAGTACTTGAGTTGAATCGGTTTGGTTTACATCAATTTAAAATAAGAAAAATGGGTAAGTATAATCTCAACAATCTGCTTGCAATAATTCAAATTATTAATTATCTCAAAATAATTTTAACTATTGAAAAATTTTCTTAAAATGTTTCACTTACTCACGAATAGTACTATAGTATTAGTTATTTACGGATAATTATAAGTCACTGAACTATTTTGAGAAGATTTTTCAATAGTTGAGATTATTTTGAGTTAGACTGATATTTTGGATTATTTCAAGCAGATCATTCACAGTTGGGATTATTCTTGTCCATTATTCTTTTAAAATATTACGAAACTGATTTGATGATATTGAAATTAATTGAATTTATTGAAATTAATGTAGTTTCTGCTTCTGCAGTTGGGTTTACAGAAGTTATTGAATTATGAAAATTAATACTTATATTTTTAAAATATATTTTATTTTGAAAAAATATTAAAAATAACTAAAACGATAACTTCGACCAATTCAGTAGAAGAGTAACTTCAACCTTTCTCATTATGAGTAATACACACATTTATGATTTATTGCAGGCAAACATGGGGGAGGCACCATCAATTTCCTAGTATGTCATTGGAATGTTTTTTTTGTTTAATTATTATTTGGACATGAAACTTAAATTTTATTAAGTTAGTAAACTTTTATAGGAATATTTGGATGTATGTACAACTTTAAATAAGTGAAGTTAAATTTATGTCATATATTTGAATAAATAAAACAAATAGCATAACTAACAATTTAAAAGGATAAAAAGCTAACAATTACCGTATGCTAAGTTGCTAGCTATAATTACGCATAGCCTCAAATGCACTACAAAAGTGTTATCTACTTAAAAAAACATAATATAGATTATTAATTTGTCTTCCCTTATTTATTTAGGCTATATAGCCATTTAACCCACTTTTATATTCTAATAAAAATGGAAGTCTTGTTTATCCCTTCTAGTTCTTAATTCAATATTTTGATCCTATTTTGGAAATTTTCTCATGTCTAGCTACTAGACTCCTAAAACACCATGCTAACTACAAAAATGAACGTTTAAACCTTTACAAAATTAAATAGGGAAAATGGAAACTAATAATCCAACATTTCAGCAGTCTTCTTACAATAGTCCCACATTTTCATTTTTCAAGAATAATCCAACATTTGCACCCCATCTTCATCCGTTGGTCCCTGACCGGTTAGTGACCTGCTATTCCAAGTTATTTTCTTATCTTTGCAAAATATTATCTTTGTGAAAGGTAAGATTTATTGTATAATGGTTTGCAAAGATAAGAAAATAACTTGGAGTAACAGGTCATCAAATGGTCAGGGACCAATGAATGAAGATGAGGTGCAAAGGTTGAATTATTCATGAATAACGAAAAAATGGGACTATTATATGAATACCGCTGAAAGATTAGATTATTAGTTTCAATTTTCCCAATTAAATAGTCGTCTTCCAATCTTTTCCCATTTGCGTGCAAAAAGAATCTTTCTTCACTTGTGAAAGAGTAAAGTTGGGGGTTAGGATGGGGGCATTTGGAAGGAAAAAATTATGGTATCAAAGAGGTTGCGTGGACTGATGTGGATGGAACTCTGCTTTCGGGTAAGTACGAAGTTTCTAGCAGGTTTGAACTTTAGGTACGTACGAAGTAGTACTTAACTACTCCGTAATCCGTTTTTTATGGATCCGTATTATTTAAAAATAGAAAAAAATTCTGAAATGAGGGTAAAAACGTTTGAAAATTTCAAAATATGACCGTCCTGTTTTCACTGTCAAAACCCGGTGTATTTTTTTAGTGAAGTAAAACGTAGTTGGCTAATCCAAAGAATAATCAGACCACGAGTATCGTCTCTCAAGGATTGACAAAAAGGAAGTTTTAAATACTATCCGTGATCGCAGGCTAGCACAAGTCATAGTAATCTTTCCAAATAATTTGTTTTCGGATGATAAAAAAACTAACTAATAGCAAGTGCAAAAATAAATAGAGGGGAAAAAATTAAATTGATTTTAGATTTTAAAACATGGTTCATATTGGATAGTTCGGGTTGTGGGTGTTCTTTTGGGATTAAAATTAACTAGATGTTGGATAATTGATACCCATATCCTATAACTAAAGAAAGATTGAACAATAATCAAGAAGATTAATGGAGAAGAATGTGTATAATGTTGAATGAGTTGTGAGTTACAAGCCTCCTATAAGGAGTATATATAGGGAAAATTCGGGTCTGGGCCTCTAATACGGGCCTGACAGACCCGGTTACATAAATGTGCTGATAGTATAAAAAGCTAATCTAGAACATCTGAATAATAATGTACAATAATATGAATCCGCTAAACGTGTGTGGGCCGCTGTCCAGGCCCAGTAGTCGGCAGACCGGGGGGTCGGAGTCCATATACTCCATCAGGAGTCCCCCACTCCCTGAGTCGAGAGTACTCGAGGCGAAAGGGAGTAGTCCAAACTGTAGCTGCAACGTTCTTCTGTCTTTGGTTTCTTCCTCTTCGGCCGGGGGACCACCACCCTCGTCAATGATGGGGAGGTGCCTCGTTAAAAACCTTTACTAGGAAAAAACCCAGTGGGAAAAAATCCTAATAAAGGGAAAAAGAGTACACCTAGCGCCCCCAACATGAAACAAGGAAGGTAGGCCCCCTCCGGCATAATCACTTTTGTCTAGCTCAAACCGTCTTCATCTGACTCATCTTTCGTTCCTGCTCATGTGTGATATTTTCTCCTCATCTAGAAACTCTGACCCCTCAGTCCCCCAGTCCCCACTCTTTGAGGCGAGTGGAGACAAGGTGAAAATGAGTAAAGTCATCTCTGTACCTACACATTTATCATACATATAAAATCTTTTTCTTGGGATTTATGTTTCCTATCGGGAGTTCGTTATTCGAAACAAGTGGAGATGTGAATTGTTAATGTAATGACTAAATACTTAGTAGAATGGATGTGTGAGCCATTCGTAAGCAATGGTCGCCACTCGAGGAATGACTAAGACCGGTCTTCGTGCCCGACTTGGTCGGGGCTTTGTGCCTGAGGAGTCAGGGCTTTGTGCCTGAGGAGTCAGGGCTTTAAATCCTAGTGATGGGTCTCAAGCCACACTCTACTAGGCATTTGATCATAAGTGCGTGATAGGGTGACACTCACCCGACAAAAAAATGACTTAATTAAATATAAATAATGTTAAAATTAAAGTGTACTTATCTTTTTAAAGTGGGCTAAAATATTAGGCTGATGTTGAAATTTGGCCCACTGGAGAATTTGATAAGGCCCAATGTATTCTATCCACTGTTTCTCACTCGGCCCAAACTTCCATGGCCTGCTAGTCTTATTGATACTGCCATTGATTAGGGCGGCACTTCCCAATAATCGAGTGAGTCAGATGGAACCCACATACCAGACAATCTGGCCATCCTCTTTCGGCCACTGAAGCTGGCGAGGCATCTTCCGTATTACGGTGGGGCTGCATTGGATATCCATAAGCAGACTGGAGATTTGATCCCTTCCTCAATTATAACCTGGTCAAACTGTCAAAGCTCTCAAAGACTTGTCCGCATCTCCACCCAATCTTCAAAAGAGATTGGCCTTACGTTACTTGGCCTCACACTCGCGGACGTGGTCTGCTTTAGACCAAAGCATTTACGCGGAGTATATCTCTTAGAAAAAGAAGGGTGAAGCACCTTTCTACCAACCCAGATGCAGTCCGCATATGTCGGCCACTACCTGGCGGTGGAGATGGTTGGTTTAAGGGAGATTCCATCACAGCTTGGCTGATGGCCTCTATCCGATATCGACGAAGAAAGGAGGCAAGGGGACACTTGTTCAGTTGGACCCACCGTCGCCGGCGCCGTTGGACAGCGGGTTGCCGGAGAGAGGTGAGGACTCATCCGGTTCTGCCTCTACCTTCATCGCTGAAGATTCTTCGGGTTGTTGCTGCCTGAGAGCGCCGATCAAGAGAAAGAGGAGCGCAGGGCCCTCGAACCACTGTCTTGGCTTCAACTGGAGAAAATCGTCGATACTCCAACCGGCAAGAAGACGGCTTCCCCCGTCGCTTTCTGAGGAAAAAAGGTTTGGTCGCAGATAGTCCCCCTGCTGCTTCACGAACACCGAGCCGCCATTAATGGATGGGTAAGCGGCAGCCGGCCAGGTCGGGGAGTGAGCGACTGTAGGCTGAATGAAGAGAGGAAAATACCCGCTGGTGCTGCTAATTGACAGAACAGAGAAAGAATTCATGAATCTCCTGCGGCTGTTTTTTTGTGGGAAAATGATGTTTGTACCCACTTTTATACCCACTTTTGTATCCACCCATGTTTGTGAAGTTATTTTCTTTTGTCTGTGAATTCATTCACAGACAAAATATGTCCGTGAAGGAATTCAAAGACATATTTTGTCTGTGAACCGGCTTCACAGACAAAAAAACAGCCTTCACAGAGGTGGGTATAAGGTGGGTACAAAGCATGGTTGCTTTTTGTGTGCTTCCAATGAAAGAATGTTCCTGGTGCAGCTGGGCTGCCTTTTCTCTTCTTTTTGGGCTGCTGATTAAAAAACTGTCGCTGCTCTGTTTTTTTCATTTGGGTTGAGCTCAATATTTACCAAGAATACATAAATTCTCCAGTCCTTAACATAACATGTTACGATGTTTTTACTAATTTGTCACAGATCAGACCAGACCAGATCAGATATGGTAGTTATAAAAATACAAAGAAACCAGACCAGATCAGACCAGACCAGCAAATTACAGTCCAAGTAAATACATCCTTATTCACCCCAAAATTCAGAATGTACAATTACAACTCACCACACTAGCAAATATGAGTATTATGTAACTTTACAATCAAATTACTCCAAAAATGTCAAATTATGTAAAAAAAAAATACCACACTGTGACACTGTAAATGAATGCCGTCGGGACAGAAAAATAGCAAATTTTCAATCAAACCCCCCAACAGTCACCCGATTAATTATAAA